GATATACCAATACTAGTATCTGTATCTGTGCCAATACCGAGTATTTGGACGAGTACTTGCCCAAATGCTCTGATACTTATCCCGATACTGGAACTTCTGGCAGTGCAGCAAGGGAACATGAAGCCGGCTTCCCGTCCAATCAGGAATGCGGACCATGGGTAATGACTCACAGCCCGGCTTCTTGATTGGCCGGGAAGCCAATCCGCATCGAGCCGGCCAAACAGCATGGAGCCAGCTTCTGGGCCAATAAAGGAAGCCTAGCCGTAGGTAATGACCCACCTCGTGGCTTCCTGATTGGCCAGGAAGCATGGAGGCAGCTTCCCGGCCAATGAGGAAGCCGAGCAGCGGGTAATGACCCGGCTTCCTGATTGGCCGGGAAGCCAGCTCAATGCTGATTGGCTGGGATGCCGGATTTCCGGCCAAACAGCATTAAGTCGGCTTCCCCGCAATCAAGAAGCTGGACATCGTGTAATGACACACTGCCAGTCTTCCCGATTGCCCGGGAAGCCAGCTCCATGGTACCGGAAGTACAGGTATCCGTACTCCCTATCTGTGGGTACCGAAATATAAATATCTGTACTCGTACAGAAAACAGTTTAAACAGTTCAACTTTATAGTACAGGAATTTTGTCCAGCCTGAACTAATGCTATTATTTACTATTGTTCCTACTAGGGATGTCCCGTTGCCTCTTTTTCAGGCCCAAGTACAAGTACATCCCCTCATGTACTTGCCGATACCAATTACCGATACTTTTTCTTAAAGGGACAGGTGACTTTAAATGATCCATAGTACAACTACATGTTATGTACTATGGATCATGATTTAACCTATTCATGTTAGCAAGGGAGAATTGTAACTCTATTGCTGGAGTGTAGTGGAGGTGTGTGCTGTATATATGTACTACATATACATTACACACATCCAGTACACTATAGCAATAGATTTACAGCCAGCCCCATCCCAGCTTCCCTCACTCACAGTTTCACCCCGATCCCTGTTGTCTCATGCGGTGCCACTTGTAGTTGGCGCTGGGCAGGATCGCTGCATCGCGTCTTGGTGCTCAGCATGTGGGAGGCACTCGCAATTCTGCCCTGCTAACATGAATAGGTTAAATCATGATCCGCAGTACATATACAGTACACATGTCCATTACACTGCAGTAATAGTTACAATTATCCCCCGCTAACATGAATAGGTTAAATCGTAATCCATAGTACATAAAATGTAATTGTACTATGGATCATTTAACCCATTCATGTTAGCAGGGGATCACTGTAAATCTATTGCTGCAGCCCTTTCTGCTACGGTTAAATCCGCTCAGCGCCGCCGACGTCCTCAGATGAGGAAGAGCATTCGGCACCTCGTGAGGCACCACGGAAGGTACAGGAAAAAAAAATCAGCGCAAGCATCGGCGCATTTTGACAAGTACAAGTACTTGTCAAAATGCCCTGTATCGGTCCAGATACGAATGCTAGCTTCGGTATCGGGACATCCCTAGTTCCTACTATGATTGCAGTTCCGTGAATTAAAGTTGCAAACTGTGCGATCGTTTTTCAACATCACTTAGCAAACAAACCATTTATCATGTTACTAGTCAGCAATATTATGATACTGGAACACAGTGTATAGAAAAGACTGCATTTTATCGAGACAGTGGGACACCGTGCATGTGCTAATTTTGTTCCAGCAGCTGGGTTGGGATGAAAGTCGTGACACTTCCCAGATGCGTGGTAAATTGAATGCTCATCATTCTCAATGAAAGATCCGCCCATCTGTGGCCACCTTCAATGTCAAAGACTCAGCCAGCTGTAAAGGCAACCGCCACATCTATCTTAATCAACAAAGTTTAACTAATGCTAGAACATCCTAGTATTTGCACAGCTACTCTTTGTACTGTTTGAACATCATTCCAGATCCCCATTTTTAGAACCCACACCTTCCTATATCTGTACCCTTATCTTTGTATATTTTCCATATATTTTCTCACTTGAGAAGCTAGGCAATTGTGCCTTCATGTGCTTCTGCCTTCTTATTGTCACCTCCCTTTGTCAGATAAAACAGCAAACAAGACAAAAAATAAATAAAAAATGAGTAGCTTCTCTTTTTCCCTCAACAGATAAACAATGCATGTTTTGCTGACCTGGAATAGGTTGAACAACTAATAGTGGTGACAGCAATTAGAAGGCATGAAATGTCTTACTAATTATACTACATATATAAAGGTCATCATCAGGTGAAACCATTTCTGCTTAGTTCTGCACAAAGCTATTGTATTCCCTTTTAAATGAACTTTGAATTTTTAAATACATGCAATCATTTAGCTGTATGTATCCCCACCAGTGTATTTATTTTTTGTTCTAAGCATACAAAACCATTTCCTTACTAGACTTTTAGTACAAATCCATTTTCTAGCTAAGTACCAGGGTCATAATCATTTATTTCATGCAGTAAACTTCACTATACTATATCATATTTTTTTTTCACTGCTACCCTCTGAATATCTGGAAAATCCATTTATTTGTTTTTCTATCTTTCATGTCTATATGTGTATTACAGTCTCCTGCCTCTGACCATTAAACAAATTCAGCTGAAGTGACCAAGGGAAATCTTGCTGTATTTTTGTGACTTGCCACTTGTGATGAAGTTTAAAGCTGTAGATTGTCATGTCTATTCAGTAAAATAAAGATCAAAGTGCCATACCTGTGGCCACCATTCAGAGAGTGCTTTTCATTCCTGCATGTTTGACTTTATTGTTGCTCTTTGCATAGAGTTATAACTAGCAAATAGCGTCTGAAAGAATCATGGATATGCTGCCAGTATCAGCCACGTTAGTCTTGTTAAGGGAAAGAGAGAAATTACCTAAACAGCTGTATTTTTTCAGAACCGTTCTGATCCTGGGCCTCAGCCACGTTATAAAAATCTTACAAAGCAAAATTCTTGCGTTTTCCTGGGAAAAGCAGCCCATTCATGTCCAATTGTAGCAGAAAGGCAGAGAGTGCCAGTTACTATTTAGTCTTACCAAACTCTTTGGAATACCTACCCCTCTCAGCAGTGCTAAATATAGTGGAGAGCCACTGGATACACCTGTATACTCTGATTAGGCTTCTGCTGCTCCTGTTAAAAACATCCTCTAAGCTTTACTCCCACACACCCAGTCTGGGAATTGCATATGTATTTAGGTGGCTTAATTTCGCCCCAGCTACACTAGGTAGGACTAAAAGATTGTCCAACTACCTCCAGGAGTAGACAACCAGCATCAATATCAGTTGTGGCGGGATAAGGGATGCAGGGGTGTGGAATTCGTATCGCAAGTTGTTTTGTTACTTTTTTAGCCCTGCTACGGACAAGTAGCAGGGCTGGGGTTTTTTTCTTAAATGAGCGCCGAGAGCAGCTCGCTGTCCCCATGCATGCGCCTAAACGCACAGTGTTTTCAACTGCATTCGTGTGCAACCGCCCGGGCAGGGCAGTATTGCAGCAAGAAAAACGCGCAATCTGCCTGGCATGACTGGGGTGTCATTAGAAAATAATGGCACTGCCAGCGCGATCGGCAGTGGTGTGCGATTCGTGACTGCCCGGCCATCGTGCATGAAACCGAGTGGATGGCTGGGTGGTCAAGGAATCGCACACCACCGCCGATCGTGCTGTCAGTGCCATTATTTTCTAATGGCACCCCAGTCGTGCCAGGCAGATTGCGTGTTTTCCTGCTGCAATACCGCCTGGGCAATCCCACATGATCACGGTTGAAAACAGTGCACGGTGCATGTCGTGAAAATAGGTACATCTACCTTTTTTCAGCGATTGCCACGCAGATGTAACCCCTGGGAATCCCCAAGTCTGCACCAACCCTAAAGGGTAAATTCACTTTCCCAAGTAATTTGGGAAAATGGAATTACCCGCACAAATCTCCCTCCCACTATACTTACCTTTTCGGCGAATGGTCCTTCTCGTCCACCAGTACGGGTGTACTACTATCTGTGCCTGTTCCATGTATTCTGAATTTCGCTCGCAAAATTCAAGCACTCGTTGGTCAACGCAGTAACCTGACGGCACTGACCAATGAGAAGTGCTTCTTAGCACTGCTAAATACGGTTTTGGTTAACTTTATTTTTTTTTGTATCAGGACAAGTAGATTGTCATGAGGGACAAGTAGATTCGGCCCCCACTTTAGTCCTTGGACAAGTAGTTTTTTCTAAAATTTCCACACCCCTGGGATGTATGGATATTTACAAACTTCTCTCCCTGTAGGCCATTGATGATCACCTTATGAGTTATAGGGAGCCAAAACTGTGGCCACAGATATTATTCTGTATTTGAAATGCTGCAGAAGACTGTAAGATGCAGCACGCATATAACCGGAGTTATTCAGAGATTGTGGACATGCTTACAGGAGTGATAGGAGACAAGGGTGGACCTGATCCAGGATAAGGTTGGAGACGGGATACATATTCCATGAGACTGCTAAAGATCACTACCTTTACTGCCCCCCTGCAAATCAACATTTTCATTCCTAAATGCTGGAGTCCTGGAGTCACACAGCAAGTACCAAAGGTTGGGTACCAGAGCTGTAGGCAAACCTTCCAACAACTTTAAAATTCACATGGTATCCTCCCCTGGATGCTACAAGCAACTGACAGTACATGAAATTCCTATTAAAAAGCATTTACTTCCCACTTTTACCACCCCCTCCTTTTCCCTCTTTCTATTTGCTTTTATTTTGTGCTCCCCCATTTTCATTCTTCCTGCTTTTTTCTTCCCCAATGCATTCCTCTTTGATTCCCTCTTCACTGTTTTTCTCCTTAACAGGCAGCTTTTTTAGTAATTTCATTTTTCCCCCCTAATTCATCCCTACGTACGTCTCTAAGTACAACTCCCTAAGGTATTAGATCGATTATGCCGTCCCCATTTTAAGATATAAAGTTCCCTTCTTGTATTAATGTTTTAACAATTATTATTTCATGTTTTCTTTACGTGAACACTGTTCTTTTCTTGATCATTTTAGGCAACTGCAAACCCACCCAATCGACCTCCAGATGCTGTCGTGACTGACATTACAACGCCTGACCAGGTAATGCTTTTGCACATTCTTTGCACTCTGAGTATGCAATAAAAGCAGTAACCATTGCAGCACAAATGACTATTCGGGTGATTCATGATTTTAATTTTTAGTCTGTTTGAAGGTACTCAAATAATAAGGATGAAAAGATTTGTATTGTAGATAATGACAATGTTCATTTAAGTACCATTCAGCTTTTTGAATGTGTCACTTAGAGGTCAGATAGCAGGAGTGCTTTGATTAAACTTAGACATACAGTAATATGCAAGTGAAAGGTTTGATATCTAATACATTATATGGCTTAAGAGCCATTTATTCCTAAAAGGAGTACTGATATATTATTCTATCTACTATCATGAAACTTGGTCGACAACCAAGGCATGTTCTTAGATTTGACTAGCCACTCTCAAATGACTCATCTCCTATAAAAAAAAATACGTATGGGTGTCTTAAATTAGCCCTATAGTGGTTAAAGTGACCCTGTCACTACAAGGCCATTTGTAACTAAAGCCCAGTATGTTCTCCTCTACTTTATGCAATGCTGTATATTCCATTATTCATTTGTGGAGGTTTTTGTGTGCTGAGATCTCCCCTTCTTCCAATTGTGAATGGGCTCATATGCTGACAAATGTTGTGTCTTATCTTGAAGTCTGCTAAGGTGAAGAAATATCATGGTATAGATCTTAAAAAAGAACTATGGCTCAACTTTTCTTTTGCCATAGTTCTCTTTAGGGTCACAGGAGAACATATACTAATGTCCTATGTCTGGTTTTCTTTAAGTCTTATGACTGGTTTCTTTACGTTAGCGTTTTCATCTAAAAAAAAAACGAGAAAATAGTCAAACTCATGATGTGTGCTTGTGCATTTGCTTAAAGTGTATCTAAAGCCAAAACATTTTATTTATTTATTTAAAGATTTGGATGGAGTTGGGGAGATTCAAACTCTATATTTGTCCTGATGACCAATGTCAGCAGAACTTGTTCCAATAACAACTCTTTCCAGTAACAACTTTAGAGAGCAATTTCATCTAACTTCCTGTTGGCTCTACAGGTCACTTAGTAAAAGGAAATCTCCCCAATGTGACACAGATGGGAAGAAAACCACTAGTTTTTTGTTTTTTCTCTTATGTATCCAAGATGGGAAAAAAGTGTTGGATTTTGTTATAACTTAATTTACATATATCATATACTTGTATTAAATGACTTCTCTATTTGGCTACTTAAAGTTGCACTAAACTCAGGAGGTAAATCTTAAAAATGTAGCTTATTTGTACAGTTGTAATCAAAACCTTTCAACCCCCTTTGCAAATCAGGTTTATTTGCAAAATATACAGTCTTTCGGCAGTTTACAATGAACAAATAAAACCGAACCAATTGAAATAGGTCAACATAAGTAATGTTTCATGTGGTTTCCCCAAATGTAACTGAAAATGCAACTTTTAATGACTTCTGCAGTCTCAAAATGATTGAACCAAGCATCTTTACTGCTTAGTAGAGCACACTTTTGCTTTTATGATCGGCTCCAAACGAGATGCATAGCAAGACACCAGCTTCTGGCAGCATTCCTGAGGAATCTTAGCCCTTTCCTCATGAGCAATGGCCTCCAGTTCACTAATATTCTTGAGTTTGTATACTGTAAGCCTTCAAATCCCACCAGAGATTTTTTTGTAGAGTCAGGTGGCTGTGATGGCCACTGTAGAATATTCCAGGACTTCTTCTGCAACCAAGCCTTGGTGAAATTTGAGGTATGCCTGGGATCCTTATCTTCTTGGAGGGTCCAGTGACGCCCCAGCGTCAGCTTCTTCACAGACGGCATTATGTTTTCTCCTATGATTTCCTGATACATCAGTGAACCCATCTTTCCTTACACATGCTGCAGGTTTCCAGTTCCAGAGGATGCAAAGCAGCCCCAGAACACTACCGAGCCACCTCCATGCTTAACTGTAGGTAGAGTGTTCTTTTCAGTGTATGCTTCATTCTTCTTCCTCCAGACATATCGCTGATGCAGAGGGCCTCAGTGCCTGTTGTCAACAAGTTGTGCTGCAGGTCTTTGGTAGTCACTTGAGACAACCTGTCTTCTCAGAAATGTGTTTGCTGCGGTTGATAGCTTCCTTTTCTGCCCCATCCTGTGTAACCACTGTTCCTTTAACTTTGAACTTGCAACCTGTGCCTCCAATGGTGTCTCTTGGAACATCCCGTGCCTTCACTATCTTTTTGTATCCTGTTCCTTGTTTGTGAAGGGCAAATATCTCTTCTCTTAACTTTTTTGACCATTCTTTTTATTTCTAACATGCAGTCTCACGTGACACTCAACAAAACCCCTAGCCAGTTCAGGTATTTAATGTGTTCTAGCTCAAGCACACCTAATGCAACAAATGAAGCTCTTGATTAGTTGCATCGTGTGCTTGAGACAAAACCTGCTCTTGTGAGGGATTCTGTTCAGGGGGTTAAATAGTTATGAGACTGCAGAAGTTATTAAAAGTTGCATTTTTAGTTGAATTTGGGGAAACCACATAAAACATTCCTTGTGTTGACCTATTTCAATGCTTTTTGTTTGATTTGTTCATTGCAAACAACTGAAAGTTTGTAAATTTTGCCAATAAACCTGATTAGCAAGGGGAGTTGAATCATTTTGATTAGAACTGTATACCACTCGGCTGAAGATCCTCAAATCATGTCTGAATTGGTGCTGACACTGCTTTCTGCAGGGTGGTTACTTTTGTTCTCCATGGTCCCTGTCTGTGTTTTAAAGTAGCCACTGCCTCAAGGTCACTCTGGTGATGGACTATAATTTCAATACAAATTAGTAAACCAAACATGAAATTGTAGTCTATCACAGGAGTGAGCTTAGAGTGGTCAATACTTTACAACACACACAGGGACCATGGGGAACAAAAGTAGTCACCCTCCAGAAGGAAGGACAGTGTCAGCACTAATTCAGAGATGATTTGAGGATCTTCAGTTGGGTGATGCACAGATAAGGCACAGTATTGTTAATAATTAGGTTACTTGAATGCATTTTAAAGATTTAACTCCTGAATTTAGTGTCGCTTTAAACTTCCCTGCAAAACCTGCTTTTTTGGCATGTAAACTGCGCTGTGCTTGATGGGCAGTAAAATTCAAGTTAGATGATTCTGGCATCCATTGTCTTCCATTTTTCTTTAGTACACTTAAGATTTTCATGTAGATAACCAATGGCAGCTTGTAACATTTGGCAGAATGAGTTACTTAGAGACAAAAGCAACAAAAGTGAAGGGTCTTGATGGAGTGAAAGATGTGAAATATAATTGAGAAAATGAAATAGCACATGTTAAATGTTTTACAAATAGAAAATGTTATAAAGGTGCTTCATTTCTCCCATTAGCCAAAGGTTTGCTTGCAGCTTGTTTAGTTAAAAAAAAAGAATTGTGGTTTAGAAGACAGAGTGATACAGGGCATGTTTGAATATATGTGTGATGAATCTTTCATGCAAAACCTTTAGGGACAAATTATGCGACACAACTGCCCAAAGTATTGTCTGTTTATTGTTCTCCTGCCAAGTATTGATCCAGTGATGGAAATCAATATGTGAAAAAAAGCAAAAGCATGATGGACACATAAAATAATTACGGCCTCTTTCTACCCGTGATCCAAGACCCATTAGTTGTCTAACAGCCATCATTTGCACCTTTTAAGTAGAATGCTTCAAACCTGCATTAGCAGCAAAACATAGATAGATGGATATTAACCGCAAAGTTGCACTTCAAGTAATGTAATCAGGAGAATGTTTAATCTTTAAGAAGCTGTGTGCAAGCGCTTCAGTCTCGTACAGTAGTCTCTATCGATTTTCATTGTGCTTTGGTCTGCGGTTTTTACGTACTATACATAAACAACCCCAGGTGGTTAAAGGAAACGTGTCAGAAGAAACATGAGAGCTGCCATTGCTGGCATTTTCTTTGAAAAAGCTAGTAACCTGGCTGTGATGATGATTCCTTTGCTTGAATAGTCATTGACCTGGGGCAAATATGCAGGTGAATCAGGGTTTGACTTCCCTGATCTCCTTGCATGTTCCACATTAGTGATTCAATATATTGAAGGCACTGGGTCAGTATTACATCCAGGTAAATAACATTTTCATGAGGTGCAATTGTAGACCCTATATTTTCAATATTGCACATTTCATTTAAAGAGTATTTAAACCTAAAAACAAAAATGTGATCTATTTCAGCTTACCAGTCCATAAATGTGGTGGCTGCATTAGTTTTAATTTGTTCCCCTTTATTTTCACCTGGTGATCCTGCTGGCAACATTCTTCCCGTCCTAGGTTGACAACACTTTACTCACCCTGCTTTAGCAGGACAGCAGAAATAGGGCAGAACCATAGAAGAAACCTCCCCCTCTCCTCTTCTCCATCACTTAAAGGAAGAGGGATCTATAGGCCGCATAGATGCACTGTAACTAATGCAGCCCAGGCACAGAAACTGCATAAAATGATCATCTGACAAGATTTCTGGCAGGATCAACAAGTATTTTTTGCAGTTATCAAACAGCTATAGCACAATGCATTTAATGGTAACAGGAAAGAAGTGGATCAAATAAGATAATTTTATTTTTATGGTTTACATACCATTTAATAAGCTCTTATTTCTCCCAGTCTTTGCATGAAAAACTTGTTTGATCATTCATTTTTAAAATGTTTTACCATTCATTGTTAACTGTAATGCAGTTTTTTTTTCTTCATTCTGCCCACTCTGTTACTAATTGGCTGCCATGGCTTGCTGTGCACCATTGCTCGTTGCACCTATAGTTATATCTGGCAGTGATTGCGATGGGTCTCAATGGGAGTCCAGTATCTTCAAGATGTATATTCTTTCGGCAGCAGTGACATTTTGCAAATGATTTTGGATCAAATGAATGCAAATACAGTTCAGGCACCTCTATTAGATTGCTGGGGAAGCAGGTAATGGCATGCAGTGTAGTTCTTCTTTTAAATGACAGAAGTCAGTGGTAGGATTGCCTCTGGAGGAAACCAGT